TGCAGATAAATTGCATTATACCCATCATATTCTTTTCAGCATGCACCATTCATTTTATGTTTTCAAGAGATCCTAGTCAACTATTTATTTTTCTTTTGTATTCTGAAGTTGAGCCAGAACCTTCTTCAATATATTTTGCACAAAGTCGAGTTGACTAAAATCGATAACAATGCAATATGAATTTCATCTGAGAAGGGGCTAGGTCCAGTTCTTCAGGATAGGGGTTTTTTGCACACCTCTGAGCGAGCGATACTAAGAGCGTAACTTCAGAGCGGAAATGAATCTTATGTCAGTTCGCTGCTTTGTCTAGCTGAGTTTTCTGGAGGAAGCCCTAGGAAGCGTTCACAAGTGTAAAACCAGCTCTTGTGCTTGGAAAAACTTCATAAAGCAGGTCAATGCCCTCTGCTGGCATCTCTAAATGAACATTTTATAAGGCTCCTGTTAGGGTACATGCAGTTTGTGAAATGTGCTGCTGTTTCTGAGGTGTGTGTTTTAGGTGGAAGGAAGCTTAAAAAAAAAAAAAAAACAGAAAGATTGAAAAATCGGAAGACTGCATATGCAAAGGTTGTATCTGTGTCCTGTCCCTCCGTAACGTGAGAGCTGGCAAACAGATCTCAGACTGGTAAAGAGCGAGTGCGTTACAATGGTTTCATGTCACATCTTCATGTGTGGAATCACAATTGAAGAGTTCAACTGATTTACAAAAATAACAATTTTTTTTAAGACTCTTTTACATTTTGATGGAAACAAACTATAAAAAAAAAAAAATCCCTTCTGGGAGTGGATCTATTTGCTGGTGTACCAGCGAGCAAAGCTAGGCTTTATTCACTCTAATCCCCTTCCCTGCGAGGTCCTAGGTTTATTTTGTTGGGGAGAAGGGAGTTACTTTTAAGTGTTGCACAGCATTGCGCCAAACAATTTCAGAAGTCGCCCTTATGGAAGATATACAGAAAGTAGAAATTGATTTCCTTTTTGAATTGTTTTTGCAACTTCAGAGAAGAGAAGAAGGTTGAAAATCAAGCTGTGTGAAGATTTCTTTTTAAACTGCCAGTACCACAAGATGTGCTTCAGTGTTCAGCATGTAACAACTGGAGAAAAAAAATGTTCCTTTGAGCAGACTGTACATTTTCCTGGCAACTAGCAGTGTTAAATAGCTGATGATCCAAGTCGTGCTTTCAGTTTTTGTCCCCCTGAGAGTGAGGAAACTACAGAATAGTGCTGCTTTTAGTCTATAAAGATATGTGGTCCCTGCAAGTGGGATTTGCCTGGACAAAACCAGCGAAAGGTCTGGACAAATCAAACAAGCCGGAAGAGCTTTTTATTTTTAGCATTAAGACATTGATGTTGAAACAAGTTATTCTCCCAGAGGAATTTCACCAACTGTAAAATCGGTCATCGGATGCAAACTGGCTTACCTGCACATCATCCATCTGTAATATCTCTAAAGAAAACCTTAGGAATAGCAATACTCCAACAGATCTTGAACTTTGGGTTTTGATTTTCTTGAGCCGGCCCGGACGTAAGATTCTCGCTTCATTTTGTGACCTGATTGAATACGTAGCTTCGAAGTCCAAGCCAGGCTCTAGCCTAGTTGTCCTGTTAATCAAATTTCATGGATAAAATTGGGTGCTTGTATTTTGGCTACTTGTTTAATAGTGTTAGGGTTGCAAGGATCACCACTAGGCTTTGAAGTTTTGTATTCCTCATTTAAGTTTGGGGTTGGTTTTTAATTTACATAATAACAGAGTGTGTGTGTGTGTGTGTTGGGGAGGGGGATGTGCCTATCTCCGCTAGAGTTTCAGATAGCTGTGAAAGTCAGTGTTACTCGCCATCCCCATTAGACCTAGTTTTAAATGGTGAAACAGTTGTGCTGCTTAGGTGAGCGAAATGGTTAGCGTGGGTGTGGAAGCTTTCAAAAACAAGGAGCAAACCTAAAAACCACCCCCGCCTCCCTCCCCAAGCCTGCACCGGAGTCTGTTTTTGCTTGTCGTTTCCTGTGTGCTAATTGACCTAATGGCTAGTCTGGATTTCTTCTGGAGCCCCGAACTCCCGGAGGATACGATTACAGTCTGGTATCTTTGACCTGCCGGTGTAACGTACCTGATGTTCAGTGCAGAGTAAAGGTGCTGTATGAGGAAACCATTTTGCAGTGGTTCTTGTCTTGTGATGACGTGATCTTCTCTCTGTTCGTGGCCAGACGGGCCTTGCGTGTCCGAGAAGCCCGTGTGGGAATAGCATGTGCTGACATATGTTGTCCTAACTCTTTTCACAGTTTCATCAAAGTGAGGATCTGGTCATCAATATTTGGGTTACCCATGAAAGAGCTGGTCGTGGTTTGGTGGAAGAGCTGTAGCTGGCAAGCTGCAGCTGCTGCTGCTTTGGGTGAGGGAGTCAGTTTGCTGCCTCCTGATTCCAGAGAATGGGATGCGGGGTGGGGACCTCATCCCTTCCCGAGAAGGGCTGTCCCCTGATAGCGGGATGCCTATTTACAGTGGTGCCTGAAGCCCGGTCGCTGATGGAGGCAAGGTGGGAATCGGGGCTGCAGGAACAGGCTGAGCTAAGCCATCTTGCAGGCTTGGGAGCCTGGGCACCCCTCACTGGCCTCCAGCAAGAGCCATCCCTACTGGGACAGGACCAGCGCGATGTCCGCTGGGGAAAGGGACAGTCATCTTTCAAGCACCTTGACTTTTATTAGTTTCCCTTGAGGGGTGGCACCGCATGAAATGCCCGTGCGCTTTGTGACAGGACCTTAACGGACAAAAACGGAAGGAAGTTTCACCACGTAGCAAAGGGAGGGAGGGTTCGGCGCTCCGTTGCTGAAGTTGTTTCAGTGAGACCGATGAATTAGGTAGCTGGTGTAGAGTGATGTTGCAGTCCGAGACTGTCAACAAAGCTTCCCTTAGCATTAAAAACAGAGAGAGTACAGTACCAAGGTACACCTTGCTTTTTCATCTTTATTTTTATCTGCTGATTTATTTTGATCCCAGCTCCGTGGAGACTGTTACAAACACCCTTGTATTGCTTTCCCCATTTTGCAGCCACTGTTGCACTGAAGTCTCAGGAGTGAGAACTGTGGGTTTTTTCCTAACCTCTCTCCTGTTTCAGATGTTCACACGTGATGTGATAAAATCTCATTGTGTTACACAACGCAAATTGGTTTGGCCCGCAGGCTTTTACGCTTTTCTTGTTGGTAACGGGAGATCCCAAAATGAAATTCTGCACTGAAGCAAAAAGAAAGTCCCCCAAAGTTGTCCACAGTCCCAGCTTTGGTGGGCAGCAGAGGCAGAAAAGGTGTACGGTATATGAGGCTGGAGAAGGACACTTCCTAACTCTAGAAACCTGCCAATCCTACTGCTGGTGGTAGCGATAGGTGGGAGGAGGCACCTGCTTCCCATGGATGCGTGAAGCGTTCAGGGCTGCTAACACGTCATGCATCTGCGTGGTCTGCTGGAACTATTTATTGTGGGTTCCTGCCACTGTGACACCTTACAGCTCTTCAGAAGTCATAAACGGTGGCAAATTGTCTCAAAAAGTCCCCTGGATCCCCGTAGTAAAGTCAGACTTCCTGCACAGTACATGCAATACCTAGAATTTGCACATGGGACTGCTAACAAAAATTACCTGGGAGCAGATTTGCTCAAAAGATTGGGGGGGGGGGGGAGAAGGATCCCACCCAGAAAATAGGCAGGCTAGTTTGAGTCACTGCTAATTGTTGTCAGAAGGTCAGGAAGCGCGTAATTTCTTTTTTTAAAAATGGGATGTCTCACTCTCCTTATTGCTTGGACCTATATAACGTAGCTCAGAAATCTAAAAGGAGACCCTGCTGCTGCAAGTTTCAGTCATTTTAGCCTATGCTGCAGCTCTGCTAGGGAAGAGCTGGGGAAGCACAGATTTGTTTCTGGCCTCAGGTAGCGAGCAGCTTGGGAACCTCTGGCAGACTTGAATCCAGTGATGATCGGGGGGGGTGATGGTTTTGGCACAGATGAGAGTGCGCTCTCCTGATCTTTCAGAGAAGGACATGCGGTGATGGGGTAGCAATGCTCCCAGTAATCTGAATGAAGCTGTAGGTGCAAAACCTATGGGATCGGGGACTGTATATGCACGTTAAAAATTAAGAAGGAGAGTGAATGAGCCCATGAGCCAGTGGGGAAGAAGGGAAACAGATGCCTTTCCCATTATGTGAACACATATGCCTGTCAGGTTGCATTATCCAACTCATTTTAATATATCTATTTCTATCTTACTGAACCTGTTGATGGCAATTTTTGTAGTGTTGGTTCCATTAAGTTAATTACTAATGTAGTCTGATTAGACGCCTTACATATTACAAGGTAGTTTTGACAGTGTTTCGTCTTAACATCTGCAGAACTCGCTTCAGCTTTGGAAATTGAAATGGGGATTTTTTTTTTTTCCTGTGCCACAGTTGTGTGAGCTTGTGCATCTTGATTTCTAGTTGCTTTCTCTGCCAACCCAAACAGCAATGTACCTGGGCTGGTGTTTTTAGATTTTTTTTTTTTTTTAATTATTATTATAACTTGTCTTCATAACCTCTTGGTTGCCCATTACCTGGAGCTGGGGTTATCATTTATTTATTTTCTCCTCTACCCACTCTCTAAAAGATGATGACGGGCAGGTTCTCAGCCTACCTACACAGTGGACTTTAGGTAACAGCTCTGTAACAACTGAGTTTGATCTATAAATGTGCTTGGCTAAATGTCTGATCTGCAATACTTGTAATAGTTTAAAAGTCAATAAATACATTTTTAACAGTTGCCCTGTGAAAGCTGAGTGTTTGCACAAACTGTTCCTCGGGGAAGAGGCTTTCTTCGCCCCTCTTGGCCTTAGGACAAACCTGCTCCAGCCACAGCTGTTGAAAACTTGTTTTATTTTTATTTTCTCCAAACAGTTTGGGTCCCCCTTCCCCCAGCAATAAATAAAAAGTTGATTTCTTAAAAAAAAAAAAAACCCCCACACACAAAAAAAAAACTGAAACAAGCCCATCCATATGTACATCAGCCACACAAACAGGTGTCCTGCATCACATTAGAGAGGTGGGGGAGAGAATCCCAGAGGTTGCTCTGCCCTGGGACTGGGCTCAAGCAGTCAGTGCCTTGGCAGGTACCTGCTGGCTCCAGCCCAGCCTCGTGCCACCCATCCTGCTCGCCCCGCAGTTGCCTGCGGCTTGCTGGTCACGCAGCATAAACTGGCTCAGATAAGCATCCCCCCCACCACACGCACACCCCTCAGCCCCTCTTGTGCAAGGGGGGGAAACTGCTGTGTAATGATTATCGTTCACTCTCTCTTCAAGCCCTGTTAAAACCCAAAGGAAGGGGGGAGGCAGAAGTGAGGAGGAAAAGGGAGGTGGTCAATTCTTTTTACTTTAAGAAAAAGAGACTAAAAGAGGGACGGACAGAGATTTTAGGCCAGGCACTTGGGGAAACCCACTGTTCTTCTATTTTTCCTCCCTTGAAACAGAGCCTGGGCAATGTCAGGGTTTGTGGCTTGCACAACTTTCCTGCTTTCAGAACATAAGGGGGAAAAAAACCAGATGAGGTAAGAAATTTCTCTACGAAAAAGACCCCTGTGGAGTCCAGGGTGAACGGCAGTGTCCGGCACTATTGCTTAACATCACAGGGCTCCATGCCCACCGGCCCCCTCCATGCTTGGCACCATCCGCCTGGCCAGTCTCGGCCCCTGAGCTAACAGCTGGGCGACGTGGTGATAGGGCTGTGCAGGTACGGGAGGCTGCTGGGGGTGGCGTGGACGCCCACGGAGACCGGGAAGCTGAAGACAAACTGGGAGGTGGGGGTGGAGGTGGCCTTGCCCCGCTCCCGCAGTGTCCCCGAGGGGCTGGCAGCCTCCACGGCACATGAGGTGGCCAAGACCTGCGACTCGAACTGCAGCAGCTGCCCCATGAAGCTGAAGTTGGGGGAGATGATGCTCCGGCGCTGCTTGACAAATTCAAAGGCTTCCTCCAGCTTCACGCGCTTCTTCATCATCAGGTAGGCCAGGCAGATGGTGGCCGAGCGGGAGATGCCAGCCTGGCAGTGGACCAGGACCCGGCCACAGCACTCCTTCACTGAGTCTGGAGGCCAACAGGGGACACAATGTGAGACCAGCCCCATAGCACCCTTCCAACAAAACACAGCCCCCTGGCCAAAACTGGAGGCGATGGCCGACCACCCACCAGTGCAACGAATGACCTAGACTACTCTGCTGGACCCTCCAGTCCCCTCTGAGCTGATAGCTCCAGGTCTTTAAGGTAGAACCCTCTCCCCCATCACCTCTCCCAGAGGGGTGAGAAAGGCCCGGATGCAGCCACTCTTGAGCAGGCACTCACCAATGTACTCAATTGCCTCCATGAACCAGGAGCTGATGTCAGCTTTGTGGTTGTCCTCCACGGGGATGCACTTGTACTGGTAGTGCCCCTCAAAGTGATTGGGGCAGTCTGAGGAGACATTCAGCAGGGCCGTGATGCCCAGCGCATCTAGCATGTCCCGCCGGGCAGCATGGTAGGCGCTGCCAAGGTAGAGGAAGGGAAGAATTTCCACCGGTCCACCCTGTTAAGAGAAGAGATAAGAAGGTGAGCACAGCACAGTGGTAGGCAGGACATGCAAAATCAGATTGCTTTGGAGGCCTCCTCCCAAGCAGTGCAGGAGCCTGACACCTGACCCAGGGGCCTCAAAAAGGCCTGACTCCTACAGATTGAGCACAGGCCACCTTTTCTGAGCTATTAAACCCACTGCAGCTGCCTCCTCCTCTTTGTACCTCAAAGGGCAAAGAGGCAGCAGTGCCCAGGGGGTAGTGCTCTTGGGTCTGATCCAGCTCGCACTGTTGCCCAGCCCAGCACCATGTTCAGGAACGGGTGGGTGTGATTAACAGGGTTTGGGCTCATCCCTCCCTGGGGAGGGCACCACCATGCTTTCCCACAAGAGGAAAGGGGAGCAGGGCTCTGGCTCCACAGGCGAGTGGGTCTCAGCTGGGGCAGGGATGCGGAGCTGCTCCACCAGCACTGGGCTGTGACATGAGAAGGGGATTTTGGAGTGGGCAAAGCCACTGTGGCCAGGGCTTGCAGGCCTACCTGGTCATGCAGTGGGGTCCCACAGGAACTGCAGCCCAGGTCCAGGGGTTCAGCACTGGTGGGGGGCGACCCGTTGCTCAGCGACTTGGTTTTGGCACAGAATTCGGGGTACTCTGAGGAGAACCGCTCATAGCCTCCTGCAAGGAGAGAGGTCCAGAGTGTCAGCCCGGGGCTGTGTTCCCTGCACCATAGGAATGGCGCAGTTCGAGCTGGTGTGTCCCAGTGCATGCTTCACCACTAGATGATGCTACAATGATGGAGAGTGGCCTCCTGCCCTGGGGTGAGCCACCAGGCTCCTGCCAAAACCCCAGACCAAAACCAAGGTGGGTTTCCCAAAGTGGAACAGAAACCTCTGGGATGATGGAGAAAGGATTCGTTGCCAGCATCCTCCTACTTCAACAGGAAAAGGTGCTCCCAGGCCATGAGCAGCTCAATATCCAAATTCCCCAGATGCCCCTTCCTGCTGCAAAGCACAGGGAGGTCTAGTTTCCCAGCTTGACCAGCAGCAGCCAGATACGGTGACGCTAACTCCTCAGCAAAGCAGCTCTCTGGATCAAGGAGGCATCTGTTGCCTCCCAGGGACACAGGCGCGAGTCGAACAGGAGCAGCAAGCACCCCAGGAAAGAGCAGAGGTGACCTCAGATCTTCCAAATGGCAGGCAAAACAGAGCCGCTACCCATTGGCTTCTCAGGACAGGAAAACTGCAAGGCCACTGCAAATAAAATAATCACCTCTCAGGAAGCTTCCTGTTCTCGTTCAAATCAAATCAGCAACCCTGATGTCCTTGTAGAGTCTGACCTTGAGCCTTAAAGCTAACAGAAATCAAGTATTTTCATTATGGCTGCAGGAATCTAGCTAAACTGAGCTCTGCCTCCCAGGATAGTTGCTGAAGACTCACCTGACTGCAGGACCCAAGCCCGCAGATTTGGGCTCGCCAGAGCAAATGCACCAATTCCTTAGCCAGCCTTAGCTCTGAAACTGCCCTGAATGAGGCTGGATGCTCAAAAGACCAGTGGAAGTGAGAACCAGTTCTCCGCCAGATTCAAGCATATCCAGCAAAGCAGCCCAGGCAGCTAGAGATGGATCTCAGCATCTCACTAGCCTTTATTTAATGGGTCGTGCTTTCTTCCACCTCCACAAGGAAAGGCCAGTCCCAAAAGCAGGGAGACGGATACACAACGGTCCCTCCCAAAGGTGCAGGGCAATTTGCAGAGATTGCATTTCCAGAGCTTGCCATCCCTTTGCAATCTTGCCAACTGTGTTTGGAGGAGCCCCCAAAACCAAGTGTCCCCATTAGACATTTTCTCCAGGAGGCCCAATCTTAAAACCGCTGGATCCACCAGATCCCGCTCCAATGGCCATTGCCCCATCCTGACAGGGAGGAGCTGCCCAGGGTCATGCAGGGATGTGAGCTTCTCCCATGGAAGAGTCAAGTGATACTAACAGGCCAAAGGTGTTTCTTCTCCGTGTTTCTCACCAGCTCTCCTGAGGTCTTCTCAACCAAGTACCACATTCAACAGCCTCATCCATCCTTCCACCAGCAGCCAAGATTCAAACATGCACCTGCTGCCTTCACAGAAGGGCCACCAGGTGAGGATCCTTCTCATCTGATCCCTATCACTGTCTTTGCCTCTAAGGTATCCAGCTGGATGTGCAGGGACTGTGCAGCATGGATGCCCATCACCAAGCAACACCTAGCAGGGTTGTTGCATGGGGAACCTGGTGGCTTTACGGTCCGTGAAGGTGGATCTGGAGCTTCATCACGATCTGAGCGCCACAAAATGGAGCATGGCTAGGCACAGAGCTGGGCTAGCAAGTCTCTCATGAAATCAGAGCAAGCTGAATCATTTTAGTAGCTCAATGGTAAGTGACTGAGAGGTTCTTACTGCTGCAACTGGGCCTCTAAGAGCCCTTGCCTCAAAATAACCAAGATGTGTTCCATAAGAAGGTAAAAACAAAGGGCTGGAGACCCAAAATAACATCCCTCAAGAACCACAGCAGCATTAGAAGCACCGAACTGACACGGGCCGTTCTTGAAGCAAAACTATTTCCTGCCACATGCACAGCTCCTAGCCCGGTGATGGCTCGTGGCAAAGGACCCAACATCCATTTCCGAGCGAGCGTTCCCTCAGCAGCGCACCATATCACATCCTCAGAACGGCTCCTGCTGGTTTTACTGTAACTAGCGCAACAAAAACCCCAGCTCCTCCATCTATCAAGCCTGTTAATGGATTTGCTACTTTGTGCATATGCATCCTCACCCCTGCTGTAAGTAAACCGAGGAATAAATTAACTCTATGGCTGTAAACAAAAAGCAACGCAGGGCTCCTCCAGCAGCCCCAGCTGAGCATCCCCCCCCCCCAAACAATCTCACGGCAATCCCCCGCCCCAGCCGCTCTCACTGTTTGCAGCATTTCGTTTAACCTCTGTCAGTGCCGAGAGCATAAGAGGAGGAAAAGCCCCGATGGCTGCTGTAGTACCAAAAGCAGCACCAACCCGTCCCAGGGGTTTCTACCTCCTGCAAGAGCATGTTGGCATGACGCTAGGCTTTCCATACGGGACCAAACGCCTGCTCTACACCATCAGGCTGGGGATGAGCCCAAACCAAAGCCGGGGTCAGGGGAGGGAAAAATCTCCCCTCTTCTGCCTGGACCAGGTCATGGTGTCGGGTTTGGCCCCCTCAAAGCCAGGGGTCTAAAT